TTTTTTTTTTAATTTCAGAATATTAAGGGTATACAAACGCTTTGGTTACATAAATTGCCTTTGCACCACCCGAGTCAGCTACAAATGTGCCCATCCCCCAGACAGCGTACACCACACCCATTAGGTGTGAATTTACCCATCCCCTTCTCCCCACACCCGATGAATGTTACTTCCATATGTGCACGTAAGTGTTGATCAATTAGTACCCATTTAATGGTGAGTACATGTGGTATTTGTCTTTCCATTCTTGTGATAAAGAAGTCATTTTCTTAACCATAAAATCTGAAAGAGTCAAACAAATAAAAGGAGATTGCCTACAAGCTCACAAAATTTTAACTGTTGCTGCAGTTAAACTGTAAATATGCAAAAAGACTCTACCAATTTGCTTTTAGACATATACAGCTCTTTTAGACATACATAATTCTTTAAGTATTTTAAATCTTAATTTTTTCTAGTAAAAAAGGATATTTTAAACACCTGCTTAGGGCCGGGCACAGTGGCTTATACCTATAATCCCAGCACTTTGAGAGGCCAAGGTAGGAGGATCCACTTAAGCCCAATTTGAGACCAGCCTGGGCAACATAGTGAGACCCTGTTTCTACAAAAAATAGCTGGGTGTGGTGGCATGCACCTGTAGTCCTAGCTACCTGGAAGACTGAGGCAGGAGGATCACTTGAGCCCAGGAGTTAGAGGATGCAGTGAGCCATGACTGTGCCACTGCACTCCAGCCTGGGCAACAGAGGAAGACCCTGTCTCAAAAAAACAAAACAAAAAAACCCTGCTAAAGCATAACAAATAAGAAAAATGTGTAAATGTATATATCCTTAGAGTAATATTATTCTAAACTGACCACTAATAAAAATCAAATCAAAGTTTTTAATATTCATTCTAATATTTTTTTTCTCAAAGAAATAAGAAAGTATATAGATTACCCCCTTTCAATATAGGGACATTAAAATCAGTGACTCCATTGTTTATTGCCTTGGGCAAGTCACTCAATTTCTTGTACTTCTGTTTCCTCATCTATAAAATAAGGATAATAATAGTACCCACCTTATCAGTCTAAGGATTGAGTTAATATTTATAAATCACTTACAATACCATCTCAAGTCTTCCGAAACAGCAGAACTGCTTAACCTCTGCCTCATTTCTGCTTCTACAAGGATCGTCCCATCTACAAGCATGTCCTTGCTTTTAACTGAATTCACTTAACTCCAAAAGCAACAATGCTGTCCATAAAAAACGTGATCTTACATTCTAGATGTAAATACTAAAAGCATCACAACTTGGGCTCCTAGAATTCACAGGAAGCAAAAACAATTAAGATAGGATAGAATATTACTCGATCATAAGAAATAACAGTGATCTAGCACCTCTTATATTTTCCTGGATTGAACTTAAGCCCATTACCAAAGTGAGGTATCACAAGATCGGAAGAATGGGCTCCACTTGTACTCGCCATCAAATTGGTACTAACTGATGAACACTAGGGTGATCACATGGCAGTAATACATCCAGGGATTAGGGGGATGGGGGGGTAACCCCGCAACTAAAGGACATGGGGAGCATTGTAGGGGGGAAGGGCATGCCTCTAACCCTCGCTTGGGTGAGGCAAAGACATAAAATGTAACCATAATGTTTGTACCCTCATAATACCCTGAAACAAACAAACAAAAAAATCATCTGAGGATACTGAGTGTGAAAAAAAAAACAAAAAACAACTAAGATAGGAAGCAAGGCTCAAGGCAAACACAGTAATAGCTAAGCAATTCTTAGAGACCACTTCAACAATTCTGAGGGCTGTTTAATATGCTTATCCCTGTCTAGCTGAGGGAAATTCATCAAGGTATTATAATATTTTAGGTACATACTTCACTGTTATGGCTACCACATTTCATACACAACACTAACAGCCAAGTCAGTCTCTTCTCTGAACTGAAACAGAGGTATATAACTAAGCACAAAGAGCTTTGCTGTATGTGTTGTTGCCATATTATTTTTTAATGAAATACTGTAAGTGCTTAGTATACTTACATTTTAAATCAACAATTTCATGTACAAGAGTATAAAGAAGACTAACACCTCTATCTGGCTTTGTGGGACTCTGCTCTTCTTAGTACTTTAGGGGGAAAGTTAAAATGCCAAGGTAGAAGAGCTATGAATTAAAAAATTCTCCAACTTGGGGATATAATCCTCAGGGTAAAAAATTATTAAGGGCCTATAAAACACATATTCTAAACATGCATTCTAAAATTCTTGTGGTTTTAATTAACATTTGATTTGCTCCAATCTTTATCCTCAAAGGGAAAGAGCTTCTTATGGATAGGAACCATATTTTATCCATATTTGATTCCTCAGCATTGTGCACAGTCCCTGGTACATAGCAATAATGATAAATGTCGTTGTTGAGACAGAGTCTCACGGTAAATGTCTAGTAGACTAAACTGACAAGGCAAATAGGCATGCTGAGTCTATGCCTTTCTGGAGCCAGATCACGTGAGCTGGAATCCCAGCTCCACCATTTACTTGTGTGTGGCTCTGGGCAAGTCACTTATCTCTGGTGCTTCTGTCTCCTCATCTATAAAACATGGGTAATAATAGTACCTACTTCATAAAGTTATGAGAATTAAATAAATTAATATTTGTAAATATTTATAACAGTGCCCGTGAGTACTCCAAGGAAGTACTGTAAATGTTTGTTAAATAAATAAGATATCTCTCTGACTTGTAAGATTTTTATCTCTTAACTGTCCCCCTAACCTACCAATGAATAACTCTTCATTACTATAGAATATATTTTCTTCTTTATTCTGTGTTTGAATAATTTTATGAAGAAAAAAAGAATCCCTTTATCCTAATACAATAACTATTTAACTGTATTACCTTGGAAAGCAGCATGGT